GCTCTTCTAGTTTAGCTGTAATCACAAAAACCGCGGCGACAGATTTTGTTGACTGGGTATATAACAATGAGTTATTCATAATTATAAAACAATGTTTTCATTTAAGTTCTACATACGTTAACTTATTTTTGACTCCCCCAAAATTAAGACAGCCCTTAATATAAAGGTATGAGAAATGACGAAAGGGCTGACAAAAAATAAGTGATAATAAGTGATTTTAGGGGGAGTTAACGTATGCCTAATTTAAGTATTGCATTACTATTAGAATAAAACATTATTTAAATTCTTATATAATTAATGTAATGTATGATTCACTTCAACATATTGGGGCAAAATAATGAAATCATTAATTTATTAATAACAATGTTGTATTCAATGAATAAAATATAAATAATTAAATGTAAATGCATACTTTAATTTATTGTTATTTTAAGACGCTGTCCACACAATTGCGCTAAACTAAACACTGCCCCTTGGTCAATCAATAAATACTTTAGTTGGTCAGAGCATCAAACGAACATTTATTTGTCATGTGATCAAATAACCTCCGGATGGTTTATATTGAATACAATATTATAATAATACAATTATAATTAAATACAATATTTAACATTTGTTCGCATTTTCTAACAGTTATCACAATCTTTACATCAGTTCTACTGTTTTTGAAAATGATTGCAATTCTTGTACTTATAGTGTCTTTCACTGCCATTGAGTGTGAATTTGACTGCAATTTAATGAAACCATACAATAAATCGCATGGCATTCAAGTCTATCACTCCGGTCTTCACAACCAGTATTTAATGTATAGAAATGGTAATGAATGGGTGTTTGAGATCAAAATGAAGAGCTTAATGATGAACACATGGGCTGTTAAACCAATTGATCCGAAGATAATCAATCAATTTGGTGGACATAATTATGACTGTAATGTCAGATATCAGGTTATTATACATTGAATTGCATTCAAAATATTAATATTCAATTCAATTGATTGTAAAGAATGGAAGCAATGGTCGTATTGTCACCAAATGCTCGAATGGTTTCGAAGACAACGGCACTCAATTCGATGCCAAATATGTCATATTCAGGGCATCCGCTGATAAAACCAACGATTGGTTTATTATTTACAACAAAAATAAGCCCAATATATGGTGTTATTTATTCACTTCCAGTACACGACTCGAGACAAATGCCACCAAATGTAGGGAAAAGTTGGGAATTGAGAAACCATTTCTCAATTCAATGGATTCGTTGCTTAAAGAGAGTATTGAAGGTATCGTTGAATATGAAGAGGAAGACACAATCGTCGGACACTACATATTCTTCAATATAAACAACGTTCCCAAGTATTGCACGGAATTTATGAATGACGAGACGACTGAAGTACTCTTAAAATGCATTTTTAGAAAATACTTTATAATTGTTATCTTATTTGTAGTGCAAATCTGAAGCCGATTTGACTCGTGTTTCAGAAATATGTTTCCCAACGCCGGCAGTGCCGCCAAAAGACACGACTACTGCTTGGATTGTTGGCATTGTTTGTGGTCTCGTTGTTGTCGTTGTCGCCTGTATTATGATTTGGTGGGGACGACAAAGTAACCGATAAAACATTAAATAATTTCTATAATAATTACCTAAATATTAATACATTAATAATATAATAATATTAATATTAACGCTTATTTTAATAGAAGTCCGATTTTGGATTTTAATTTATTATTTTGATGGAAATAAACATTAGTTTATGCAAACATAATTATTACAAACGATTCAATGTTTTGAATATTAATAATTAATAAGACATTCAATTTAAGCGCTCTCATCTTCAATAAAAAAAATAAACTTCACGTTTGAATTGCAATTAAAAACTTAAATTTATTGATTAAATGACGTTTTAGTCTCATAAGATTTCAAATAAACTTATTTTTGTAATTATAGAAATTACAACTTAAATTTGGCCATTGTTTAAAAATACATGTTTTAATTTAATTTATTGTTTTACTTAAAACATTTTTAGCATAAATAAGACGTTGTCCACCAACTCCACTAAACTAAACAGTGCCCCATTGGTCACTCAATAGATTATGAATACTCTAGTTTGTGTTTAGTCATAGCATCCAACTCACGTTTGGGCACTGATTTGTCATGTGAACAAATGACAGTTAGATGATTAACATTATGTTCAATTGTAATTGAATACAATATTCAACATTTGGTCGCATTTTCCAACAGTTATCACAATCTTTACATCAGTTCTACTGTTTATGAAAATGTTTGCAATTCTTGTACTTATAGTGTCTTTCACTGCCATTCAATGCCAGTGTATTGTCCCAACTTATTGTAATTATATTAAAACGGATGATAAATACGATGGCATTGATGTCTATTACTCCACGGTTTACAAGAAGTATTTCATGTATAACAAAGGGTTTGAGTGGGAAATTAGTTTCGATCATGAGGGCTGCAAAACCAAATTCCATGGCCATTATTATGACACAAATATAATCAAAAGATTTAGTGGCAATCGTGTCGACTGTTATGTCAAATATCAGGTTATTATAAAGAATTACAATGAATTGCATTCACATTCCTTTACATTAAATTACATTCAAAATATGAATTTCAATTGATTTTAAAGTCTGGGAATACCACCGATATTGTGACCAATTGTACTGATGGCAAGACCTATAACATCGACACCGACTCTCAATACAATCCCAAAGATCTCATATTCCGGGCGACGTATAATAGAGACGACAATTGGCTCATCGTTTACAACAAAACTTTGCCAAACATTTGGTGTTATTCTCCGAATGAAAGCCCAAAGAATAGACTCGTGAAGAATGAAACCAAATGTCGGGCGAATATAAATCAAAGCAAACTATTTGTCGATTACATGGATTCATCGCTTCTGAAGGATATCGAGGGTGTCGTCGACTACGGACGCGGAAACGATATCTATCTTTCCTTTGTATTTCTCAATATAAACGGCAAACCCTTTCACTGTTACGCACATAATGTCTGTCTCGACGACTCTTAAATACTTTTGAAATGCATTTCTAGAAAATACTTTTTAATTGTTTTGTAATTTTTAGTGCAATTTGATTGAGTTGTTATCGGAGTGTTTCCCACCGCGTGTTCAGGAGAAGACTGATTGGTCCGCGGGTTTGATTGTCTTGATTACTGTTTTGGTAATGATTTTCATTCAACTCTTTTGTTGGTTGCTTTGGTGGTGGAAATTACAACATATGTGTAAATTTAATAATTGATTAAACATCTGATAATTTCTATAATAATTAATTTAATATTGTACATCATTTATATAAATTTCAATTATGCTTACAATGATTATTAATTTCGCAAATTACAAAAAATTAAAAAATTTTAACATAAAACTTTTGGCAATTTACCCATTAACACTATACTTTACCCTTTAAATGCACACTTTAATTTATTGGTATTTTAATAGGCTGTCCACTCAATTGCACTACTAAACACTGTCCCTTGGTGAATCAATAAATTATGAATAGTCTAGTTTGTGTTTACTCAGAGCATTAAACTCAAGTTTGAACACTGATGTATCATGTGATCAAATGACCAGATGATTAACATTATATTCAGTTGTAATTGAATACAAAATTCAACATTTGTTCGCATTTTCCTACAGTTATCACAATCTTTGCCATCAATTCTACTGTTCATGAAAATGATTGCAATTCTTGTACTTATAGTGTCTTTGAATGCCATTCAATGTCAACAAATCCATTGTAATTATTGTAATTATATTAAAACGGGTGACAAATACGATGGCATTGATGTCTATTACTCCTCGGTTTACGACAAGTATTTCATGTATAATAAAGGGTTTGTGTGGGAGATTGACTTAGATAATAATTGGCCCGAATCCCATTTCATTGGCCATAATTACGACCCAAACATAATTAAAAGATTTAGTGGCAATGGTTTTGACTGTTATGTCAAATATCAGGTTATTATACATTGAATTGCATTCAAAATATTAATTTCAATTGATTTTAAAGTCTGGAAACACCGGCGATATTGTGACCGAATGTATTAATGACAAGAATTACAACACCGACATCGACACCGACTCTCAGTACAATCCTAAAGATCTCATATTCCGGGCAACGGATAGCAGAGACGACAATTGGCTCATCGTTTACGACAAAACTGATGCAAACATTTGGTGTTATTCTCCAAATGAAAGCCCAAAGAATAAACTCGTGAAGAATGAGACCAAATGTCGGGCAAATATGAAGCAAAACAAACTAATTGTCGATTCCATAAATCCATCGCTTCGGAAGGATATTGAGGCTGTCGTCGACATCGCCATCGATAATGATATCTTCGTTTACTATATATTCTTTAATATAAACGGCAAACCCAAGTATTGCACACAAAGTTTCCGCGGCTCTGAAGTACTTTTAAAATGCATTTTTAGAAATACTTTTAATTGTTTTGTTATTTTTAGTGCAATTCAAGGGATGATTTGATAGACTTGTTTGCGGAGAGTTACCCACCGCGAGCTCATGAGAAGGGTTGGTCCGCGGGTTTGATTGTATTGATTACTGTTGTGGTAATGATTTGCGTTCAACTCTTTTGTTGGCTGCTTTGGTGCTGGAAATTACAACATACGACACCTTTAGCAAAGTATCTCTGGGACAGCTTTTTGTCGAATAGCTCGAAAACGGGTGATTCGATTTTAAAGTCGACTTCACCGAATTGTAGTCAGATAACACGAAGATCGAATAGTATATAATATTATATAATTATTCATCTTAATACTACTTTAATTTTAATCATAAAGGTAAAGTACATGCTAAGAATATCCGAAGTTGAATTTAATGTAATTGTAATGTAATTGACAAAACATTTGATAATTTTTATAATAATTAGCTAAAAATTAAAACATTTTGCTGAAATAAACGATCGGATTTATAGACCAGAATTGGGATATATTAGACATTTTAAAAAGAATATGCAAGAAATGGGTGAATAGTGTAGAGGCATTAATTGGTTGTTTTCATACATGTTTTGCCACTAATACATCACTTATTACTTTTTTAAAACCATTATTCATGCACTAATTTATAGGTCAACACCTCTATGCATTGTGTATTGATTGGACAATAATGTGATGGTCGCAAATATAGCGCAGAAATCTCTATATGTATAGTTTGATTGATTGTTTGAATACATGTTTTGCCAACCAATACATCAAATATTAAATGATACTTTTATAAGCTAAAAACTATATCTATTGTGTATTGATTGACAAGTATATGTTTTGGTGACAAATATATCTCATATTAATTATTTAATATAAATTAAATTTAAATTTTAATATTAGATAATAATATTTACAACTAAAGATTCTTATATGTTGTGTATTGATTGTTTGAATACATGTTTTGCCAACTAATATATCACACAATTAATATTCATTTATAAACTAAAGCTTATATTATGTGTTGTGTATTGATTGACATGTTTTGGTCACAAATATATCTCATATCAAATATTACTCTAATTATTAATTATAATTACAACTAAACATTTTTGTATGTGTTGTGTATTGATTGTGAAATATAAGTTTGGATAAATATTTTAATTCAACTTAATTCAATTGTAAATTCAACTTTATATAAATTAACACAAGTCTGTATTCATAATCTTTATTCATAAATCAGCTTTCGTGTATAAATAAAAATAAATTCAAAGCTGTAATAATAAATGTTATAATTTTATAATCATTTGTATTTTAAATGCATTATAAATGGTATCGATTTTAATAAAAATTATTGGTCTTATTATTGGTAAATGTATTGACGTTTTGATTGGGACTCAACGCCGATAACAACGGCAACAGATCTCCGATTACCGACAGAATCGACAAGAATTGGGTTATATATTGGGTTAAAGACCCAAACATTGATGATATGAA